CCCCCCCCCCCCCCCCCGCACAACGGGGCTTCGTCTGCGCCCCTTTTTCCTGAGGACCAACCAAAGGCACCAACAGTGCCCTCGCCTCGGGCTGGGCCGAGGCCAGGCACTCCCCACGCGGCAGTTAACGCCAGCCTCGCAGAGGCCCGACTCTGGCCGGTGGGGCGCTCGGTTGTCCTGCCCCGGCGCAGGCAGACACCCCGACCGGGCGGGGGCCGCCCGGCTGGCTGGAGCATCTCGCCCATGGATGTGTGTGTGTGTATATGTGCGCGTGTGTCAGTGCAGGTGCATGGCGGACACTCCCGGGTGCGGCGGAATAACCCGGGGAGCCGGCCCAGCCCGGCCAGGGAAGTCAGACGAAGCCGGCGCCGGGCGCCGGGCGCCGGGCCGAGCGGACGCATGCCTTTCGGGTGGGCGCCCGCCCCGTGCCTGCGCGGGGGGTGTTGTTTTGGGTCCGGAAACGCGCCCCGGCTCCCCCCCACCTCGGGCAGCCCATTGCGTGTGGCCGGCCAGGGGGCGGATAATCCGGTCACACAAATACACATGCATATATACATATGTACGGTGCTCACGCGCTCCCGACCGCTCACGCCCCCCCCCCACCGGCCGCGAACCGGCGCTCCCCGCCCCCCCCCCTGCCGGTTGGTCATGTATGATGGCGCCCAAATAGAAGGGGGTGTTAGCTCTGCATGCCCCGGGGCCGGTTGCTCGCGCTGCTGCTTCTGGTCTTGGCGACACGGCATCAGCTGCAGGTCACATGCGACACCCGGGCGATGGTGCTCCATGGGCGGACCTCCGGCCAACAGGCGCAAGGCACAAATGCCCGGGCATAAGTAGCTGTAAATGGGGTCACCTTTCAACCAGCGTCCGAATGGTGTAGTCGGTTATCACATTCGCCTCACACGCGAAAGGTCCCCAGTTCGAACCTGGGTTCGGACAATTATTTATTTTTCCTTCGCCGCCCTGTGATACACACACACCGAACCGGGGGCCAGCACCCGGCGGTGTCCCGGCAAGCACAAGAGGCACCCTTTTATTGGGCCGGATTCGGCGGCGCACGGGCCTCCGAAGAGTTTTTGCGCCGCCCGTGCCCCAGGCGGCTTGTCTTTGCTCTCGGTGGGCGGAGGACGCCCGATGAGGCGGCCAGCCGGCCGGGCCGGCAAGAGCCACCCTCTCGAGCGGGGTAGGGACGCCACGGAGGGGGGGGGGGAGAGAGAGAGAGAGAGATGGACATGGGGCCGCTAGATGGGGCAGTCGAGCAGCGCATCCAGCGGCACGCCCGGCAGGATGGACACCCCGCCGGGGCCGGTGTCCGCCAGGTCGCTCGGTCCGGCCGCGGCTCCGGCGCTCCCCGGCCCCGGGGTAAGCGGCGGGAGGGCCATGTGCCGGATGAGGGTGCGAGTTGGCTCGCTGTACCGGCAGCCGGCGGCCAGGGGGTCCGGATGTTGCGTGCGCGCCAGGCCACAAAGGACCGCCATGTTGGCCTGTGGCATTGGCGGGGGTGTTCCGCCGGGGCCACTTCCCGGTTAGTCTTCATTCGGGTGGAGCGCGGCGAGGCAGAGGGCCGGGGGGGTTCCCGCCCCGGGGGGACGCACCTCGCGCCCGGCTTCCGGCAGCTGGGCCGTCGCGCCGGGAACAAAGTGCACCATGGTCCGCAGCGTGCGCAATGTGCGCTTGTGCAGGGTGTCGGCGATGGCTCCGGCCGACTGCCGGCCCCCGAGGAGGGGCAATGGGCCATTCGCATGGGGGCGATCATGTCAGCCATGGGCCACGGGCCTCGCCCGCCGGCAGGGGGCTTGTACTTGGGGTGCTGCCGGAGGCCGGGGCCCTAGGCCCGGGCGCCGGAGGCGGACGCACCTGCTCGGCCGACACGCCTGCCACCGAGAGCTCCCGCAAAAGGACCGCCGCCGCGCGAGCCTCCACCAGGAGAATCAGCCCCCCAGCGGGGAGGCCCTCCTCCAGGTGGCCGAAGTCCAGCGCGGCCTCGAGGCGGTTCCCGCGGAAGTGGGCGCCCGGCCGGGGAAGCGACCGCGGCCGAATGGCCACCGCCTCGGCCGTGCCACCGACGAATTGCATCCCGGCGGCCAGGGCCGGCATGTCGGCCAGGCGCAGCAGCGGCGCGGTGTCCTGGTCCGGCCCGATCACCAGCAGCACGTGTGTCGGTGCCTGGGCGGGATGTTGGCCGAGCTGCGCCTCCAGGTCCGAGGCCATCTTCGGCCGGTCGATGTGGCCGGCAGGCGGCCGCGCCGGCGAGGACATGGCCAAAGCACCGGGCCCACATGGCCAGCAGCGGTGTCAGCCGAGGGACCTTGAGCATGGCAATCCGGCACGCTAGCCCAGCCGTGCGCCTCCCCCCCGCCCCGCCCCGCCCCGCCCCGCCCCGACCCCCCTACCCCGGCTGGACCATCCCGCGAGGGGCACGCACCTGGTCCAGGGTGGTGGAAAGCCCGACCGCCGGCGAGCCCGCCAGCCAGGCTGCCCATTCGGACCAGAGGGGCGCGCAGGCGTCGGCCGCCGGGCCCGAGCCCCGACCCGGGCTGGCCGCCACCCAGGGGCCGCGACCGGCAAGACGGAAGGCCGCGGCCTGGGGCCCGGGCCGAAGTTGCCGGCCGCCCGGGCCCTCGGCTTCGGCCAGGTGCCAGCCCCACTGGGCCAGGACTTCGCCAAGGGCAAAGGGATCGCCCCGCGACCGGGGGACCAAGACGGCCGGCGCCAGGCGCACGCCCGCGCGCAGGGCCGCCCGCAGGCGAGCCCAGTCGGCCACCAGGCGCCGGCCGCCGGGGGCCACCTCGTCGGCCGCCTGGGCGGCCAGCCTCTCCAGGGCGTTCCAGTAGCGGCGCCGACTCCGGACGGCGGTTGTCTCGGGCGGCGGGGCCCCGGCCCCGGGGGCCCCGATGGCCGGGTCCAGCCCATCAGCAAGGGCCGAGCCCAGGGCCACGGCCAGCGGCATGCCGGCGCAGCACCCGCGCAGGGGCGCCAATTCCGGAGCCAGGCCCCGGTCCAGCCCGGCCGCAAGGGGGGCCCCGGCAAGCCGCGACACGGCCAGCCCCGGGCCGTCGCCGGCCAGCCGGGCGGGCTTGATGCGCTGCGACACCAGGCGCACCGCGGCTCCGGGCTCATCGCGGCTGGACAGGACCAGGGTGGTCACCAGGAGCCCCAGTACCAGCAGCAAGTACTTGGTGCCAGGCAGGGAGGACATAGTGCGGGCGGGACTCGGCGCGAGGGGCGTCGGGGGCGAGGCGCGGCGCGTGCGGCAGATGTTGCGGAGTGATTCGGAAAAGAGCAAGACAAAGGGGGGGGGGGGGGGGCGATAAAAGGAAAGGCGGGCGTCTGTGGGGTGCCATTCCACGGGCCTGCGCCTCTCGGCGGCTCATTAGCCCCGGTCGTCGAGGGGCCGATTGCTGCCTCGCGCGGGCAGATGGGGCTCCTGTTCCCCTTCCCCCGGCTCCCCGGCCTCTAGTCCCGTCTATGGTGTCGCCGCGGCCGGCCTCCGATCACCCAAGGTGGCGGCCTGCCCCTGTGGGCTAAGAGCCAATGGGCTGTCATCAGCCGGCTGACATGAGTCACGATATCATGCCGGGAAACCTAAAGGCATTCAAGCCATACTGTCACATCAGAACGGACGCTTGCGTGGGCACATGTCCGTCCAATCTAGGATCGAGGCGCGGGTCGTGTGATTGTGGGTTTCATCCTGACACCCCAAGAGGGCCGGGTCATTGGTATGAGCGTCCACGAGAATGGTAATGTCATGTAGGGGTGTATGTGTGTCTGTGTATGTATTTTGTATGTATGTATGTATGTATGTATTTGTGTGCGTGTGCGTGTGTGGACCGAGGCTGGCGACCGACGGGAGGACCTCCTCGCGTGCTGGTCTCGGTGCCGGGCCATTTGTTTCCCGATTACCGCCAGTGCGAGCCTGCTGGCTGCCTGGCATCCTTGACGCATTGGGTATCCAACGCTTGTGGCCTCGGTCTCCGCCGCTGCGGCGCAAAGCGACCGGGTTAAAATGCCGCAGTGCATGCCGCGCCCCCGAGAAACCGGGGCGGGCCGGATCATCCCTTTGGTCGGTGCCCACGCCCCGGTCCTAGGCCCGGCTCGGCCCGGTGGCTAATGGATTCTGTCTCATCGCGCGGCCGGCGCGGGGGCCCCGGGTGCGGGCGGGAGCCGGCGCCTCGACGGGCGGCGAAGCCCAGGGGCGCGCAACACCTTTCGGGCCCCGAACGCCATCCCCATGTGGCCGGCACATGGTCCCTTCGCTTCCCCTGAGGACCAACGCGCTGCCCGTGCGAGGCGGGGGGGGGGGATCCGGAGAACACCGGGGCCCCCGGGGAGGGGGCGGCGGCGAGGCGCCATTCGCTTCGGGTGCGGGATGTGCCAGACCACGTCCGGCAGCGTGTGCAGCTACCCCGCCTGCCCCCCGGGTGCCCTCGCGCCGAGGGCGGCCAGCGCGTGGAATGCCCCGGGCTTCGCGACATAGATTGCCACTGTGCGAGCCGCGTTGCCCTCGCACCCCGTCCCCGGCCGGGAGATGGGCGGGTTCCTGGGCCCGGCAAGGGCATCCCCGGTCTTCATGCCGGGGATCGGTCGAGTCGCCGACGCATGTGAATGTCACTCGGCATGGGCACGCTCGAGCCGGGCATCCCCAGCGGGGCGGGCCCCGGAGGAGTCCCGCACCGGCCGCGGGGGGAATACGTGCCCAGGCTCGACCCGGGGGTCCCCGCCTTGGCCCCCCTCCCCGGGCTAGCTTGGATCCCCACCGCGGAAGGGGACACAGCATGCACGCTCGTGCCCCCTCCCACCCCTCGCGTGCATCTCCTTACCGCCCCGGCCCATGGGAGCCCTGGGCGTTGTTATTTCGAGGTGCCCCTCAGCCTCTCCCCCCGGGCGGGTCCCACCATGCGCCACCGGGTCGACGCCTGTGTCTACAGGACACGGGGGCCCATTTGCCCGTGTGCGACCGGGCGACACCTCCTTCAACACACATGCTTGCGGTCGCTATTTTCATGAGGTCCCCCCCCCGGGCTTGGAGAATAGCCCGCCACAGGGAGGGGGGAGCACATTATTGCGACAGGGCGGGCCTCCCGGCTCTGGTTCTCTCTCTCTCTCTCTCTCTCTCTCTCTCTCTCTCTCTCTCTCGCTGCGACTGTGGCATGGCCGCCGCACCTGAAGGGGATTCCCATGATGCCCGGCGCCAGGAGCACAGCTCTTGCCGCTGGGGACGCACCACACCCCTGGACCCGGAGGGGGTCCCATTTGCCCATCGTGGCCAACCCTGCCGGAGATGCGCTCTCATACACACACACGCGTGGTGGGCGACCCGTTTTGCGGAAGACCGGGGAGCAGGTGCGCACCCTGGGACTCGGCGCCCGCCTGCTGCCTGCCCCCGGTTCCTGATGTTGTTCGATCGTGGGCTCTTCCGGGACCTTCCGGGCGCTGTTGATCTAGCGCGGCGAAGTCCTGTCCTCGGAGCCGAGGCCCGAGCGGGGATCGGCGACCGGCAGCAACAACAGCTGCCGTGCCCCAGCCGAAGGGGCCGAGGAGGCATGTCACACTCCACGGGTCTCGAGTGCCACCGGAGCGGATCCCGGTGCCATGGGGCGAGAAGGGCGTCGAGGCCGGGGTGGGGGTGGGGATGGCGGGGGTGGGGAATGGGGGAGGGGGCGCCGGGCGGCCGAAGATGCCGCCTGAGTCAAAACACCCCCCGCCCCCCCACCCCATCCCCGCCCCGCACGGACCAAGAGCTCCTGTGTCGGTCGGCCGAGCCCGAAGGGCTGGCCGTGCGCCAGCGGGCCCGGTGCCGGAGCCCTGCCCACCGGGAGGAGGGTCTGGCGGCCCGGCGGCACAAAGTCGCCTCGCGGGGCCCTACCACGACCGCGAGCGTCATACAAAGCCTCCACCGGAGAAACACAGGAGTTGCCCCCGGGGGCAGGGACCGCGAGGCGGGGGAAGCCGGTGCGGCCCAATGGGCCTCCCGAGCCAGTGTTTTGGCCCCCGCCCTGGGCCTGGGTGGCATTCCTCTTTGCCGGACAGTGGGCTCCTCCTTGGCAGGGCGGGGCGGGGGGGGGGGGCTCTCCGTGCAGTCGGGCACAAAGGTGGGCCTCGAGGAGGGACACCTGGCCACGGGGCCGCCTGCGGGCATGGCTGTCTCCCCTGTGCCTGGGGCCGTCTCGATGGCGGGTCTGGGGTGGCGTGTCGATGGAAACACTGATCGGGGTGAGGGGGGCCCGCGATGCGGCGCGAGGGCCGGCCAGCCGCCAGAGGCAGGGTGCTCGCCCGGAAGAGGGGCCGAAGGCGAGAGGCGCGCACCGTCGGACGCTCCGCCCCTCGGGCGTCTCTCCCCGGAGGCCCCATGTCCTGGCTGGACCCGTGTGGCGCACACATCCTCGGAGCCGAAGATGGCGCCTGTGGCATGGTCCTGGCCCTAAGGGGCCGCCTGGTCGGGTCATCTTGCCCGGCGGGGGCCACCTCGCCCGGCGGCGGCGGCGGCGGCGGCGGCGGCGGCGGCGGCGGCGGCCTGCGCCTTCTCCCTCGGGGCCGGATATTGCTCGGGATGGCTCCTCGGCCATGAGGCGCCGTACGCATGTGGCTCGGCGCCTTGTTGGCAAGTGAGACACGGCCCCCGCCCGGCTCGCCTCTCCGCCCGCCGGTCAGCACGCGAGGCCGCGCGGGCCGGGCCAAGGGCGGGAAAGGGGAACCCGCCGGACGGGCCCGGAGATGAACAAGCAGCCGGAAGAAAATATGACCCAGGCACGGCCCCCCAGTGTGTCCCCTCCTCGCGGCAGGAGGGGTGTCCTAAAAGGCACGATGGACAGATGGCTCCGGGGCACAACACCGGATAAAGCCAGATGCGATCCATTTGCCCCAATCGCGCCTCCTCGTCCGCCTCCTCCCCC